GCTTGGCCTGCTGTGTTCATCCAGCCCTGCACCTTGTTATCTTGGATTCTCCAGCATCTGCAGTTCCTACTATCTCTATATCAATTTGTAGGCTCCTTATGTCCCACTCACAACTCACTTTTCTACCCATCTTTGTGCCATCAGCAAATTTGTAGTTGGTTGACTCGCTGAGCTGGTTCATTGTTTTGCATACGTTTCGTTACCATGCTGGGTAAAATCATCAGTGCAGCCTCCAATGAAGCATCGTTGTGTTTTCCCACCTGTTATTTAAACTCTCGAGTCCGTTGAGCTGGATTACCTCACTGTGGGTTTTCCTTCGCAGTGGAGTGTATATGGGGTTGAGCTCTGTGTGTTTGTTGATGGCTTTCTTCGTGGAGTACCACGCTTCTAGGAATTCCCGTGCTTGTCTCTGCTTTGCTTGTCCCAGTCGAATTGGTGGTTCTCCTTTTCCATATGGATAGAGATGAATGAGTATTGGTTGTGTCTTTTTGTAGCCAATTGATGTTCGTGTACCCTTGTTGTTAATTTCCTTCCTGTTTGTCACAGTCTCTGTAGGGAATCTTGTATGTGACATTGGTCCTGTGCATAGTGGGTAGTGGGTCTTTGGTTCGGGTGAGCAGTTGTCTAAGGGTTAATGTGGGTTTGTGTGCTACTCTGATGCCCAGTGGTCGTAGGAGTCTTGTGGTCGGTCCCGGTGTGTGTGTGTGTGTGTGTGTGTGTGTGTGTGTGTGTGTGTGTGTGTGTGTGTGTGTCTGTGTGTGAGTGTGTGAGAGAGAGAGAGAGAGAGAGAGAGAGAGAGAGAGTGAGTGTGTGTGAGAGAGAGAGAGAGATGTAAGGTAGAGTGATGAGTGTGTTGGGGCATGTAGTGTCTTCCTGGTGTCGTTCGTTTAGTAGGCATCTTCTGACCCAGTTTTTCGGATATCCATTGTCCTTGAACACCAGGAAGAGGTATTCTTCTTCTTCTCGGCGTAGCTCTGTGCTGCTGCAGTGTGTTGTTGTCCATTTAAATAATGTTTTCACGCAGCTTCGTTTGTGTGTGTTAGGGTGGCTGCTGTTGAAATTCAGTACTTGATTAGTGTGTGGCTTTCCTGTGTACCTTCGTTAAGAATTCTCCATTTGTCTTGCGCTCTACCATGACGTCCAGGAATGGGAGCTGTTTGTTCTTCTCCTCTTCTCTGGTGAATCGGATTCTGGTGAGGGGGTTGTTTATTAGTTCATGTGTCTCCTCCAGTTTGGTCCGTTTAATAATGACAAAGGTGTCGTCCAGGTAATGTATCCATAGTTTTGGTTGGATTAGCGGAAGGGCCGTACTTTCCAGTCCCTGCATCACCGCTTCGGCTCTTAGTCCGGAGATGGGTGGTCCTATGGGTGTCCCATTGATCTGTTCATATATTTGGCCGTTAAAGGTGAAGTGGGTGGTGAGGCACCTTTAGCTGCCATACCTTTGGTCCCTTCAAATCATTTATGTAAATTGTAAGATTTAAGGCCCCAGCATCGAACTCTATGACATACCACTCATGACATCTTGCCAGCTTGAAAAATACCCATTCATTACTACTTTCTGCTCCAATCTTCTATCCATGCCAATATATTACCCCAAATACCATGATCGGTTAGAGTCAGAGTCAGAGTCAGAGTCAGAGTCAGACAGCAAGAAACAGGAACTTTGATTCAACCAGTCCATGCCGAACATAATCCCAAACTAAACTTGTCCCACCTGCCTGCACACGGCCCATATCGCTACAAAGATTTCTGACTGATGTACTTACCTAAATGTCTTTTAAATGTTGTAACTGTGCCCATATCCACCACCTCCTCTGGAAATTCTTTCCCCACGTAAACCACTCTGTTAGAAGAATTGCCCCTCCTGTCTTTTTTTAAATCCTTCTCCTCTCACATTAAAAATATGCCCCTTAATCTTGAACTCCCTCACACTAGGGAAAAGACAGTTGCCATTAATCCTATCTATATCCCGCATGATTTCATAAGGCCATCCTTCAACCTCCTATGCTCCAGTGAAAGAAGTCCCAGCCTGTCAAATACTCTTTATAATTCAAACCCTCCATTCTTGGCAACATCTTAGTAAATCTCTTCTGAACCCTCTCCAGCTTAATACACTTCCTATAACAGGGTCACTAGAACTGGACACAATCCCCCAGAAGAGGTCTCACCAATGTCTTGAACAACCTCAACGCAACATCCCAACTCCTAAACTCAAAGGTCTGAGCAATGAAGGCACACATGCTAGACGCCTTCTTAACTACCCTATCTACATGTGACGCAAACTTCAAAGAATTATATACCTGAAACCCTAGGTCTCACTGTCCTACAACACTACTCAAGGCCCTACTTTTAATTGTGCAAGTCCTGCCCTTGTTTGTTTTACCTAAACGTAATTAGACATTTATCCAAATTAAACTCCATCAGCCACTCTTCAACCCATTAACCCAAGTGATCGATATCTCTTTGACATCGTAGATAACCTTTTTCACTGTCCAGTATACCACCAAAATTGGTGGTATCCACAAATTTACTAAACTGGTCTTCTATATTCTCATCTAAATCTATTATATAAATAATAAACAAAAGTGGACCAAATATTGATCTCTGTGGAACACCGCTGGTCACAGGCCTCCAGTCGGAAAAACAACCCTCCCCCATCTGTTTGTCTCATGCCATTAAGCCAATTTTATATCCAATTGGCAAGCTTGCCCTGAATCCCATGTGATCTAATTTTACTAATTAGTCTACCTTGTCAAAGGCTTTATTAAAGTCCAAGTAAACAATGTTTAAATACATCAACTATTTCACTAACCACTTCTCTGAAGATCCTGGGATGAAACCCATCATGAGTTCAGATTATCTGATCAGTGTGGACAAGTTGGACTGAAGGATCTGTTTCATTGTTGTATAACTCTATGGCTTTGACCTGTGGATTTGTTATCTTGCAGTTCCAACAATGTACTCCGTGCTATTTCCCTGGCAATTGCAATTTTCTTCAGCTCCTCCTTCCCCTTCAATTCCTGAATCTATTCTGGAATGTTAGTCATATCCTTTCTATTGAAGAGGGACACAAAATCTCTGTTCAATTCACCTGCCATCTTTTTATTCTCTCTTACTAATTCCCCAGAGTTTCTAGAGTACCAACACTTATTTTGTTAACCAACTTATTTTTGAGTATCTAAATAAATTTTTCCTATCTGCTTTTATATTTTTGGCTAATTTTCTGTTCTACTCTAATTCTTTCTCCTTTTTAATCTTTTAATAATTCTTTGCTTTTGTTTTCACATTCTGTCCAATCTTCTGACCTGCCACCTTTTTACAATTATGTGTCTTTACTTTTGAGTTTAATATTGTATTTTAACTTCTAAGTTAACCATGTATTGTGGGTCCATTTCTTAGAACCTTGCCTATTTGAAGCCAACAAACAGTTTTCAAATGGCAATACAATCAAATGTTGGTCATTTTTTATAAGAAATATGTAATTTTATTGAACAGAAAATACAATTGCCCATCTTTTGTAGTCAAAATAGAACCAACTAAATGAAATTATTTACCTGGTAAGTAAGTAAAGCGCTGGGACTGACTTCTTTTTCTCTTGCCATTGCAAACATAAAACTGAACTTGAACTGCAGACGTAACACTTTTGTTGTGGTATGGAGGGACTTCAACAACAAGATTAACCTGAAACAAGATAACTTCAAAATTAAATTCACGCACAGTTTGCCTTCTACTGTTTAAAGTTTAAAAATATAAATGTTGATGCTCGTCATCAAGGTGGCTTTTGAATTTTGAACAGCAATACCAGTAACAAACTACAATTACAGTTCACTCCTCAGTAAAATGAAGAATGGACTGAGGAGATACTGGGGAGATGAAAAATGAACTTGTGGTTTTAAAACAACAAAACATCTGTAAAATACTTAAATGGTTTAAATTTAAAAATATAATTAGAATCCAAAGATTAGGTTTCAAAATACTCAAACAAAAATTTCTAATCAAAAAATAATTAAATAATGGCAGCATGATAGAATTTGGCTGAGCTCAAGCATGCAGTAGCATTATCATTGGCACAAGACCACAACTTCTAATATCAGGCCAGGTTAACTTTTTTGAGGACTTTAGCCTATTTTAATGCATGAGGTAAAATACTAAGAATATGACTTATTTGCAAACCAAAAACTCTGATCAAGGAGTGATGTGTGGATTTGTAAAATTCTCCAAAGCCACTTAAAGCAACAAAAGCAATAAATTTTTCAAAATGAATCTTCTTCTACTCAAACCTATTGAAAAGAAAGACAACTTTAAAATGGAGTTTCATTCCCTTTGCCTATAAGATAATTAATAGAATTACAAGAAAAGTCTTGCATGCAAACAAAAAAATTTTCATTGCTCAAGTCAACACGGATAACAGGGAAAATAGTTGAAGACTGCTTTTCATCTTCACAGTTCAGGCAGTTCAATATTATTTGGAAGAAATTCTGAAAAGGTTACTTACGATTTTGTTTAAACATTCATCCAAACATTGATATGTAATCACTCAAAATATACAAGGCAGTATAAATCTTACCATACTGAATAACATCAAAAAAAAAATGATCTTACCCCTTGAGACTTCTCCCTGACAATTTTTCCTTCTACCTCCCATTGAGGGCGCCCATCTGTGAAACACATCAAAATAATCTGAGAATTTATTTTGTTACAATTCCAAAATTGGTTTAGTTCGTTTGGGGGCAGCAACCTTTTGATCAAAGGCACCAAAATTTGAAAGTACAGTTACTTACTAACAGAATAAAACCATAAGATTCCACATTTTAAACACTTTAAGCTACACAAAAGTCAGCAATCACCTCATGGGCTGTCAACAGACAATGGAACAATCCCCAATTACTGCACTGGTTATCAGCAAAATTATTTATTCAAGTCCACAGCATAGTTTGAAATCCAAAAGCTTCCAAATTTAGAACAATGAGCCCTTAACTGAGACAGTTTTGGATCAAAATTACTGGCTCACATAACTCATGCAGGGGGTAATTAACATGGATAGAAGCCTGGGATTTCAGCCAGTGCCCACAGAATGGGCCATGGGATCAAAATGGGAGTCTTCTGGTTTGTATGAATCAATACCATAGAAAGTCAGAGTGAAATCACAACAGCAAACATAATTCATGTTTTCTAACAGATAGTTTAAATCAAAATAACACTTCCTTTATAATAATGTGTTGCCTTTAAAGTACAATCTACATATAGCATTTTGTTTGTATTTACAATAGTCTGGTTTAGCCAGCTTGGAAATGTTAATAATACATCAAATGCATCATTTTTGGGGCTGAACTAACTGTAAATTTAGAGCAGAGGGTAACATGGACAGTTCAGCCTGTGTCTGCAGTATGGACAAAGGAAACCAAAAAAATGATTCCTTAGTTTACAGTTACAAAATGTTTCCAAGCTAGCAAAGTTCATTGATCATATGAGTGTTAAAAAGTACATCATAATACTGTTCCAGGTCATCCAGTGAATTTTACCTCAACGAGTGATGTAGGTTGAAAGTTGAAAAGTGCTCCAAGTAATAAATAAGTTAATTTTGAAAAGAATTGCAGTTTGTATATTTCCCTCAAGGAGAGATCCTCAAGATGTTTCTCAATATGTATCACTAAATCTGGAACTGATAGCTAGTCCCAGTAATGGTCATCACAAGCTATCAATTATCATAAAAACTCAACTGGTTCAGAAATGTCATCTAGTAAGGAAATCAGCCATCCTTACCTGGGCCTGGCCTATATACATGTCCAGACCCAGAGCAACATGATTGACTGTAAAGTGCCATCTGAAGTGGCTTATCAAGCCACTCAGTTGTGACAAATAAGAATGAACAACAAAGGTTAGCTTTGTCAATGATGCCCATGTCTGATAGCAGATCATTAAAAAAAAAGTAAAAATCCAATGCAAATAAACAAAGTTCAATATTTTGTTTGTTGTTACTCCCACTGTTTCTTGCAATACATACTACGATGTAGAAAATTTGGATTTCATTCCACAGACACGAAGAAATCAGTTCCTATACAAGCCAGATGGGAAATAAAAACACATTTAAAGTACTAATTTTTCATATTTTCCAGTGTTTCCTAAAGAAACAAGTGAACGCAAGGGTGCAAGCCCTTTGCTTTACAAGATAATGAAAATCATGCAACCAACTGTAGCTTACCCATTGAGAAAAACACTAGGAGTCATATCATAGCATTGAATTGTTATATATCTGCAGGAATTTTACCTACACAGACGCTCAATCCATATGTTGATCACACAGTGATGAGCTTTCTGAAATCATGCCTGAATTTGTCGTATACATATGTTCTTTGTCCTGTTATAACAGTACCATATGAATTAAATATTGTAGATTTACCTTTGTCATGCCAATTATTATCTTGACCCACGTTCCTCCAGTCTTTTGGCATGACTCAGTAATCTGATACTCAGGATCAACACAATTTTTCTCTGAATTGTTTTCATAGCTTAAATGATTTCCTTGCGTTTTGATCAAGCAAATTTTACAAAGGAGTGTGGTCCGAAATAGCACAATTTGAATTTTTTTTTTTCCAATTTGTTTTCCAATATTTTAGTTGTACAGTTCACAATTTGTTTTGCTTTGTTGATCGTTGCTCCAACGATTGAACATTATGAGGCTTGAACCTCTGAAAATTGCTTCACTTCTTTTATTATAATGCTTAACTCTTTGATCACTCATTTTCTTTGCTACCTATGTGCGGTTTGTGTGTAATTTCCTCTATCCTTGTCCATAAATTTCACTTGAATTTTGTACCATTTTGTAGTCATCAGCCACCTCACTAAATTCAGTGTCATTCCTAATTATCAGCTCATTTGACCAGTTGAATTTAGTCTATAAATCCTTCCTGTAGAACCTGTAGGGGTCCACTCGAAATATGAGGCATCTAGCTCCATATTACCCTTAAATGTCCCTGCTCTCTCTTTCTGTACAGTTCCACCATAGTCTATCCTTCATCCAATTGTACATCATTTCATGCGGTCTACAAATATATTCCATTGTCAGAAACAGTTCATACGAATTTATTCACTACCTGTAACTATCATTATTCATTGTTTCAAACAACATGCTAATTGTCTTTTCTATATTATGCAGCTAAATAATCTTCTCCATAAATTGTTTAAAAATTCCAAAGTTCCTTAGATTCCCAGAAAATTGAAAAATAGCTGATGTACTATCATTATTCAAGAAAAATGGAAGACCGAGAGCAGGAAACTGTAGGCCAGTTAGCCTAACATTGGTCATGAGGAAATTGCTAGAATTCATTTTAAGGAAGTTGTAGCACTTACATGGAAAATAACTACGCTATCAGGCAGAGTCAATACGGTTTTGTGAAAAGCGTCTCACGTTTAACTAACTTATTAGATCTTTTTGAGGAAATAACAGGAAAGGTGATTAAAAGGGAGCAAAAACGAAGTTGCTAGAAAAGCTCAGCAGGTCTGGCAGCATCTGTGAAGGAAAAAACAGTGTTAATGTTTCTGGTCCGGTGACCCTTCCTCGGAATTGTTCTGAGCTCTGGGGAAGGGTCACCAGACCCGAAACGTTAACTCTGTTTTGCCCTTCACAGATGCTGCCAGACCAGCTGAGCTTTGCCAGCAACTTCGTTTTTGTTCCTGATTTACAGCATCCGCAGTTCTTTCGGTTTTTATTTGGTTAAAAGGGAGCCGGTGTATGCAGCATACTTAGATTTCCAAAGGCATTTGACAAGGTGCCTCATCAAAGGTAACACAAAATAAAAAATGGTGCAGTACGGAGTAGTAGTATTGGTTAGCTAACTGGCAACACAGAGTACAGATAGATGGGTCTTTTTGGGTTGGCACACTCCAATTACTGGGGTGTTACAGGGACCAATGTTGGACCTTAAACTATTGATAACCTATAGCAATTGTGTGGATGTGGCATTGAATTTATGATAGCTAAATTTGCCGATGACACTGAAAAAAGACAAGAAGTGGTCAAAATAAGGCAAAAGAATCTTCCATGGGATATAAAAGAGAGCAAATGAGTGGGCAAAATTCTGGCAGAAGGGAGTATAATGAGGGAAAATGTGAACTTGCCCACTTTGACGTGGAGAACAGACGAGTAGTATGCAACTTAAATGGAGATTGCAGAACTCGGAAATAAAGTGTCCAGGAGTCCTGGTACATGAATCACAAACCACAGTTTTGAGTACAGCAAATGATCCAGAAGGCAAATAATGTTGGTATTTATTGTAGGTGAATGGAATTTAAAGTAGGGAAATTCTCCTCCAGGTGTGTAGGGTTTTGAGAACACATCTGGAACACTGTACAATTTTTGATTTCCCTATTTGAAAAAGGATACAATGGCGATAGAAGCAGATCATTCCCAGGATGAAGGGCTTACTTTGTGAGAAAAAGTGAATGGATTGGGCCTTTGCACATTGCAGTTTAGAAAAATGAGAGGTGATCTTATTGAAACATTCAAGATCCTGAAGGGGTTTGACAGGTTGGAATCTAAAAATATGCTTCCCCCTGTAGGATTGGCCAGACTTGAGACACAGTCTAAGAATAAGACGTCAAGCTTTTAAGATGAAGTTGAGGATTGTTCTTTTCCTCTCACAGGGTCGTCTGTGAAATTCTCTTCCCTAGCCAACAGTGGAGCCTGGGTCATTGAATTCAATCAAGGCCAATTTAGATAGATTTTTAATAGCTGAGATAGTCAAGGGTAATGACAGGCAGGCAGGAAAATGCAGTTGAGGCTACAACCTGATCAGCTATGATCTTATTGAATGGCATACAGGCTTGAAAGGTGTGAAAGATGGTTACTCCTTCTACAAAATCCTATGCTAAAATAACTAATTGAAGAATCTTGTCAGCACCATAGTAACAATGATTAAAACATATCATCAGAAAAGGAAAATGATATCCACATTGATTTTCACTTGGTCTTTCTGATGCAATTATGACTATATAATGAAAATTAGCTTCAAACTGATCAGCGCTGACAGCACCACACTTCCTACAAGCTTGAATCCTGCTTACTGACACAGAAAATGAGTCAAGTTTTAATACTAAACTCTGGAATAATTTTTGCTTAGGCAGGATAAAAATATTAAATTATATGTATAATTGTTCTGTAAAAAGAAATGAACTTCTTGCCAAAATTGTCAATTTTTAAAACATCTTTAAAACCAACATCCAATGTAACTTTTTAAAAATTCATTTGTGGGAGCGGGCGTCTCTGGCTGGTCAGTGTTTATTGCCCATTCCTCGTTGTCCTTGAGAAGGTGGTAGTGAGCTGCCTTCGTGAACTGCTGCAGTCCACCTGCTGTAAGCTGACCCACAATGCCATTAGGGACGGAATTCCAGGATTTTGACTCAGTCACAGTGAAGGAATGGCAATATATTTCCAAGTCAGGATGGTGAGTGGCTTTGAGGGGAACTTGCAGATGGTGGTGTGCCCTTGTCCTTGTAGATGGAAGTGTTCGCAGGTTTGGAAGGTGCTATCTGAGGATCTTTGGTGAATTTCTGCAGTGCTATCTTGTAGACAGTACACACCGCTGCTACCAAGCATTGGTATTGGAGGGAGTGGACCAATGTAATCAATGCAATTGTTATAATTAGTTAACTACATTAA